TTGGATACCTTGTAATCTGTTGGGGGCTAGGCAAGCATCTCACTCCTTTCAGTCTTCCCACTCACTAGAATGCGTGATACCCGATAGATGACAAGTAAGTGTGTGTTCAGCTGAATGAAATGCCAAATGTAGGGGCCGGCAAGTGGCATGGTGGTTAAAGGCGCTGGACTCCCACATGGCCGACCATGGTTCAAGTCTCGGACCTGGTGGCTTACTTTCTCACTTCCTCTCTCTTTCTCTCTCTGTCTCTCTCTGATCAAACTGGAAAATAATAATGATAAATAAATAATAATAATAAATAAAGTTAAAATAAAATAATTTTAAAAAAATGCCAAATGTATACAAATGCATTCAGATTTACTACTTGGCAAGAACTTTTAGTTTTTCTACTAATCAAGACTAATAGGGATCTGAATGGATATGGTAGGAGATGGTATGCAGGAGACAAAGGTATGGGCTTTGATAAACTCTCTCAGCTGTCTCAAATGCTTGCTGAGTGTCACTTGATGAAAATAACTCTTGTTCGTACCAACTCTACCTCTCTGGACATGACCACAGTTGTGTTTATTGGGAGTTGTGCCAAATGAAATACTTTAAAAATTCCCTATAATTTTCATAGTAAAAACTGCAGTTTTTATAGTATGAAAGTTTTCTGTTAATATAGCTACATTCATTTGTGGCTTAAAAAAATGTATCTCATTCATTCTCTTGAAAATAAGTTTTCTCCATTCTATTGTTACCTGTAGCTGGGGACATCATACTATTCACAGTAGCAATTGTGAGTGGAAACAATTGGGTTAATTAGGACAGTCTAGAATTAGACAGGTCCTAACTGTGGATTGGAAAGACTGAAACTCAGTTTAAGAAAAGTCTAAAATGATCCTTTCTTTCCAAAATCTTCAGAACTTAGAAGGACTTAGACTGTTAGAAATCAGAGCCTCATGAATACATAGAGAAAATAGACCACTCCCCTGGCCCCCAGTGTATTTGAAAAAAACTCAAAATGCTTTCAATCCAACATAAAGAGCTTAAATCAGAACTAGAGCTCATTCAATCTAAAAAACCCTCTGATTTGTTAGTATAATACCTCGGAAGTGCCATATCTACTTCCAGGTCAGAGATTTCTGAAAGTTTTTCTTGAAGTGAAGTAAGAACATACAAACATGGGATCAAAATTAATTTATACTTTGAAGAAATTAGATTTTGTAATTAGAGCTAATTAGTACATTTTATACTATTACAAAGTAATTCTAGCATATTTTCATGAACATGCTATAAACTTGTATAACAAAATAGCTGATAAATAAACAATTCTTCTATTTTTTTCAGCCTGGTTTCCAGAAAAGCACTTCAGTAGCTTCCTGAAAAATAAAAACATTACAAAGTTTTTAAAAAGTAGTAACATATAATATTATAGTTTACATATTTTATTAAAATACCAAAGACATCAGGAACAAACAGAATAAAAGTCAATGAAGATAATCTGAAAACAATACATTTAATAAGGAAACATCAAGGGAACCAGCAGTTAGCGTAAAGGCTATGTCGCTGGACTCCCACGTAGTCAACCGCGGTTCGCGTCCCGGACTCAGTGGCTTAAAACTCACGCCAGGCACGTGTGCGTGAGTGCCCAAGATCCCGAGAGGAGAATGGAGGAGAAAGGACTGCGGCATGACCATCCCCCCTGGGGGGTGATTTCTCACTTTCTGTCTCTATGTCTCTCTCTGTCTGTCTGGCGAGCGCACGTGCCCTATAGTGAAAACCTCTCCAAGAAAAAAAAAAAGAAAACATCAAATACACAAACATATAATGTTCTCGTATATAGTACATATACATTTAGCCAGCTAGACCTTATTTTTTAATGCTTCTGAGAAGAAAAGAAATAATTTAAGCAATGCTTGGCACACTATTGTAAACTAGACAGCTGGTCTTATTTCATTAGAGTTCTGGAGGTAAGAAAACTGGCCTGAAAATAACATGCCTTGACCATTTACTCATTGTCCCTTAGTTCCAAATCCACCTGTCTGTCCCCAGCTACAAGAGGCCAGAACCAGGTCTCTGTAAACTTTGTTTCTCTCTGGACATCTGGGCCCTAATTAATTTCTGCCATTTGGAGGAAAGAAAGGATTTACTTCCTCCTCTTTCATGGCTGTTCCTCAAGTCCCAGTAGTTGATTCCACCCTCCAGTTTTTGTGGTTTTGGTTTTTTTGTCACTCCCAGAACCATACTTACTATGTCTACTCATCTTGATCTCCTTTATATTTAAATTTAAACTCTAGCTATGGCTTTTATTACTTGAAATACTTTAATTTAGTATCCTTCTAAATTATTAATGCATCACAAATCTTTTTTAATTAGATTAATATTTCTTGTGAAGATGTATAGCCAACGATGTCTTTTTCCATTCATACTTTTTTCTTATTCCTGTCATATCCCTGTTTTCAAATGCCTGTTTCCTCCCTCTTCAAATTTTACACATTTTATATAATCCACACTGTCACATGTTGCAAATGAGTGACATTTGCAATTATCTGTAAACATTTTAGCCTGTAGGGACCTCTATGTCCTATTAATCTCCCCAGTATTGACTAGCTTTGTCAGCCTGGTACTAGCATCTTGATTTTCCTAAGTGAAACCCCATCTCCAATAGTCTCAGCACCTTACCCCATGGGACCTGAGCCAAGCTCATTAAAACACTGTGACCATGAGGACTGACAAAGAATGTGTGTGAGTCAAGCTAGGTTAACAATATAGCTTTGGGACTTTCGCAGAAACTGTTGGAAAAGACTTCTGCATTGGCTGCTAGGTTGGTAGGATGTAAACATGAAGGCATTGGTAGGTACCTTTGCCATATAGAGTGGGGAGGTGAGAAGTGTTCCTGGAAGTGAAGCTACCACCAGGGAGACAAGATCCAAGAGACAGAGAGAGAAAAGTTTCAGATGGCATCATTTGAGATCTAGCTGTGGTAGAAACTAGGCTACTTCTGCACTTCTCACTTAAATAATCACTTTACTACTGCCTACCCCAGTGCAAGTTGAACATCTGCTCTTTGCAACCGAAAAAGAGTTCCGGTATAGACAGAGAAAAGTTTCAGATGGCATCATTTGAGTCCTTAGATCTAGCTGTGGTAGAAACTAGGCTACTTCTGCACTTCTCACTTAAATAATCACTTTACTACTGCCTACCCCAGTGCAAGTTGAACATCTGCTCTTTGCAACCGAAAAAGAGTTCCGGTATTACTTGTACTTCTCATTACCCCAATCCTTATATACGAACAGGTAATATGAAGGTCATTCTCTGTAGGGTAGTCTTATCTCTGCCACGGAGGCTATGACATTCTCTTTATGTCCTTAGTGATGCCATGAACAAGTGCTGTGAGCACAGCCTTTATTCAGTACACAGTTACTGGTTCATCAGTATATGGAAACACATACATAAAAAATGAACTGCACTTACCTATGGCTACATTCAAAATAAAAACTGCAGTCATACGTATTTCCAGGAGCAACATTCTTCCTATAAGACAGCTAATTACTAGAGTCACTGTCTGGGTAGAGGCCCCCACAGTTGGTGCTTTGTTGCTGCTGCTGCCGCTGCTACTGCTGCCACTGCTGCTGCTACCGCTGCTACTGCTAGAGACAGACTGTGCTGGCAGGTTGAAAGTTCTGGATTCTGCCCGAACAACATTATCCAGCATAAATTCAATCTTAAAATTTTTTCCTAGGGGAAAAAAAAACAAAACAAAACATTATAATCTCAAATGCCTGTTTCCTCCCTCTCCAAATTTTATATATTTTATATTATTCACACTATCACACGTTGCTAATGAGTGACATTTGCAACCATCTGTAAACATTTTAACCCTATAGGGACCTCTATGTCTTTAAATTAATCTTCTTTTTGACTTCCTTTTATTTTCTTTTTTCCATATGGTTTCAATTGGGTTTTCATTTACTTAAAAGTACTGTATAGGGGACCAGCAGAGGTGTAATGGTTATATAGCTGGACTCCCATGTAGTCAACTGTGGCTTGAGTCCTGGACAAGTGACTTACAACTCATGGTGGGTATATATGCACGCATGTCCAAAATCCTGAGAGGAGAATAGAGGAGAAGGGGATTGCAGCATGGCTATCCTCCTGGAAGGGGGCTAATTTCTCACTTTCTGTCTCTCTGTCTATCTCTGTCTCTATGGCAAGCGCAGATGCCCTATAGCAAAAATCTCTCTCTCTCTAAAAAATAAATACTGTATAATTTCTAAAGAAGTACTTTGGGAACATGAGTCAAGTGGATTAGAGTAAATACACACAAGTGAAGAAAGGGTCTCAGGGTCAGATCTTTTTGTCACTAGCATGGACAGGGGACGCTGAGTAGATTTTCTTTCTGCAGCAATAGTACTTGCTTCTTAGGATTCCTTCCCAGCACCCAGGACTTAAATGAGGGGCACTAAGGAAGGGAGAGAAAGGTATTGAATCTGTTTTATCCCTACACCCTTCATACCTGACCATGGAGTGGAGACGCCTCAGCTCTGTTGGGAGACATGGCGGTGGATACTGAATTTTTTATTTTGAAAAATTTCCAACTACAGAATAGTGAAAGTTAGTACAAACATCCATATGCCCTCACTCAAATTTAATAATTTTTAACCACCATCTAATTTGTTTTAAGTCAGATGCTATCTTTCTATAGCAAGTTTGTAATCCTTTCTTCCTTCTTATCTTAGGTAGATATCTTGGAGAAACATTGACATATGTCTAAAGTATAAAGATAAAGAGCTTAACCAAATATTTTTTAAACTCATGTTGAGTTTTCCCACTGTTTCGATGTAGTTAATACATTTTTTGACATAATTTCTATGGCACTATTGCTATTATGAACATACATTAATTCTAAAATAATAAACCCAGACAGAGCAGGGTTTGTCATACTTACACAACCTTGTAAGTTTTTGCTTTTGTTTTATGATCTGTTTTTAAAGAGTCATTGTTTTTACTTTTCCTCTTTTTTCTTTTGACCCAGGAGAAAATATAATTAGATCTTGATCATATTTATGCTTTTATAAACAATAACAATGCATCCTCTAACTTTAAATGTATGGGCATTATTCTATGGAGTTTTCTGCCACTGACAATTCATGACAATGGTGTACTTAACTATTTCTTTTTTTCAGTTTAAACACACTTGAGTTTTCATGATCAGTGTATTTTGTGTTTTTTTGTTTGTTTGTTTGTTTGTTTTTGCAATATGTTGGATTAGTAAAGGATTGGGCATGGGCCAAGGGGGTGGTTTCTGGGAGGATAATGACACAACAGTAATGCAATGGACCCACATGGGAATGTCCCAGGTTTGCATACCAGGACCTCTCTATGCATACCACACATGTGCATGTGCATGTGCATGTGCATAAATGAACCGGGCTAGCTGAGGCTGGAGGTGGATCATGGCATGAAGACTCTACTGGAGATGCCTGTCTCCCCCACCACCCCCCAAGAAATTAAAAAAAAAACAACTTAAAAACATTCAGGATGTTTTATGTTTGTTTGGTTGGTTTTTCCCTTTTACAGATTTATGAACCTCTTAAGAGGCTACATTTAGGAAAACTGAAGGACCCAATCAAAATCCAGAATCAAAATCTTAGAGTCGTGATCCCAATCAAGCCATGCCAGACAGCCCCAGCTATTAGAAATCCTCAGCTGAAGCCCCGATATGGATAAGAGATGAACCATTCCTGCCTAAATTCTTGACCCACACAACTGCGAGCTAGTGAAATGGTTATTGTTTTAAGCCATTAGATTTGAGCTGGCTTATTATGTAACAATAAAAATTGAAACAAACACAAAATACTACCTCGGTTGATAAAAACACATGTCCCAAACATCCATTCCTGTTGCTGTCTTGTCTTTATCTTAGCTGGCCAAAGATGCTGTCTCTACTCTTTAGTTCCTTCTCTCACTCTTTTCTCACTCAGTACTCACATCCCTATTTTCTGTGTTAGAAACCACAGCCCATATCTCCTCTAGTAGGTGGCTCTGCTTTGCTCTTTAAGGAGCTGTATGTAGAGGAGGGGAGGCTGTGCTGATGGCCTGCGGCCTGATCAGCTAGGGGATTTCCTTTGGGGCAGTGATATGCGGAAGTACTCACTAATAGAAAGAGTCAAAAGAAAGATGTTTCATTAATTTTCTTTTATATGCTTTGTTAATATAATTGTATTGTGGTTAATTTACAAACTGGCTAACTGATCTAAAAATAATGAAGGGACGATTATACTTGACTTTCCTTATTATACATAGCCAGGGAACTGAAACCCCACATTTGACAAAGGAAAGAGAGAGAGTGAGAAATGGTGGGGGTGGTGGGGAGAGCTATATCAAGAGAGGAAGGGGAAAGGGAAGGAAACATACAAATGAGAAGCAATGGCTCTTCTCTGTAGCAGATCAGATTGATACTCCAAGGGAAGCTTTGAGTTCTGAAAGAAAATTTACTATATAAAAGAAAAGTGCTTTAATTATTCTGTTACCAAAATAAAAATACCAAAGCTTGTTTCACTATTTTAGCACTCCAGTGATCCTGGTTACTTTGGAACATTCCTATTTGGAAGAGGTAATTTGATGAAAGACGTTGGTCACAAGGCTCGGTGTCTGGGTCTCTGTCATTGGGTACTTACTGGCTGCACCTTCATGGGAAGGTAAGAGACCCTGCTCTGCAGGCAAGATTCTTGTCAAGTGCCTCATTTCCCATAAAAGTGTTCCAGTCCCACCACAATTTCGGCTGTTAAAAGAACTTATTTCTGTCCTTAGCCAGTAAGCAACAGGAAACAGTAGGTACTTGTCTAAGAGCACAATGTTGAGCTCATTGTCATTTGAGGCCTATCAGGTTGGAATATGGCTGCCCATGAAGCAGATTGAGCATATTTGGTTTAGGCATCATCGAAGCATGGAGAAACGAAAAATAAGGAAATATATCTTTTGGAGTTATTTCGGCTTTTAATATTTAGTTATTTTTAAAAATCAGACTATTGTTGGAATTTCTTTTACTTATTTTACTTTTCACAGTTACTTTTATTTTGACACATGAGTACATGCACATATATGTGTATGAGTCTGTCTGAGATGAGAGAGCAGTAGTAAGAATAGGAAGAGCCACTAAATAACCTCCTCAGAAGTTCCCTAAAGACCTTAAATGGGCCATGGGCTGGAGTAGATAGAGTAGTGGAGGTCTGTCTCAATTACAAGGCAACTTCAACAATTTCATGGAAAAGTGAAATTAAAGTACTACTTTATTTGGGTGCAAAATTTCCTTTTAAATTCATGCATAGTTTTTCCATAATACACATTTTCCATGAACATTTTTTTAAAGTTTTTTTTCCCCCATAGAGCATGTGCATGTGCCAGAGAAAAAGAGATAGAGACAGACAGAAAGTGAGAAATCCACCCCTCCAGGGGGGATGGCTATACTTCAGTTCTCTCTCCTTAACTTTCCTCTCAGGATTTTGGGCAAGCATGCACACTCCCTTGGTGTGATTTTCAAGTCACTGGGCCTGGAATTCGAACAGCAGTCCAACACCTTAAACATCACACCAGATGCTGGCCCCTTCCATATTGAAGACCTATCGTATAAGCTGTTTATCCATTTCGTTCTTTTAGATACTCTACAATCTATCACCAATAAAAGTCTGGGTTTTGGCCTCTAGTAAAGTGACTTTTTCCCAGTTGGAGCTATGCAATTAACCCATATGGATATAAGAAGCATCACTGTGAAAATTCTGGCTGTATTTACTATATCAGTGCTAAAAATATCAATTAACACAGATTCATTGGGTATATTTCATAAGAGTTCATAGGAGACATTTGTTCTGTCATCAGAACAGGCTATACTTCTTCATGCCAAGTCACTGGCGAATCTGATGGGTACTGAGAATCATGATAATGTTCGTGTTTTCTCCTTTGCACTGGTTTACGGAAAGACTACAGCCAACTTTCTATGAACTGCTACATGGGACATTCAAATTATAAAAGCTTACTTTATTTTTTTCCTTGAATTTAGAAATCCATATATTATTTTTTCTTAATATAAATGTAAGACATATTTTGTGAGAAAATTTAGGAAAACACCCAAATGGATAAAAATATAGATTATGATATAATTTTAGTGAACATTCTCAAAGTATCTGCATTAATTTCTTTAATTACTTGTTTTAATTTCTATTTTGTTTTCCATATTAAATATTTTTTTGTAAGCTACACTAAATATTTTCTAAAATAAGACGCAGTATCACTTTCTGATTTCTATACTTTGTTGTCCAAGGCACTATAGAATGTTTTGTTAATTAAAAAAAAATCACAATTCTCCCTATTTATAAGTATATATTTGAAGATTCAAAATAGTATACTCACCTGTTCTAAGAGGAATAAGGTCTGTATAGTTGGCCCAACAACTGTCAAATGGAATTGTTGTATTTCCACTAAGACCACTGATTTGGTTATTACTGGAATCCTTTAGTAAGGCCTTCAAAGTCAGTGAAGTAATCCCAATTGATATACAATTACCCTAAATAAAAATAATAGCAGAAAATTATAGCAATTGCCCTGATCCCATTTTTTCTCCCTCCCCAGAGGTGTGTGTGCTCACCAGAAAGAGGCAGAGAGAGAGAGAGGAAGAGGGAGCAAGTACTCTCCAATGGGGCGTGGTCACCTCACAATCCCTTCTCTTCCATTTCTCCATCCTGTTGAGGTCTTGGTAATGCATGCACATGTACCTAGTGTGATTTTCAAGCCACTGGGGCCAGGATTTGAACTGTGGTTGGCCACGTGGGATCCACCTCCCTTAACTATTCATGAAAAGAGTGTCTGTGCTGTTTTTTTGTTTGTTCATTTGTTTTAATTTTCCAGAGGACACATGTGCTTGCCAGAGAGAGAGAGAGAGAGAAAAGGAAAGTAAGAAAGCACTCCATGGGGATGGTCTCTCCTCTATTTCTCCCTTTGGGGTTTTGGGCACACACACATGTGCCCAATGTGTTTCTCAGGCTACCAGGTCCAAGACTCAAACTGCACAGTCTACCATGTGGGAATCCAGCTGGGCTAACCACTATGCCATAACTTGTTCCAAACTTTTTCTTTTTTGAATGTATACAAAACTGTATTTTACAAAATTCTATATTACAAAATTTTTAAAACAATCTACAGAAGCTTTTGCTGTATACAAAAAGTTCATAAATATGGACAGAAGAGCAAGTTCATTTAAAAGAAATATTTTAAAACAGTAAATTATGGAATCCATAGATGTTAGTCTAATTTCTAGGGGACACTGCAATCCTCAGGCTGCCAGCATACTAGAAGTAGCTCACTTTCTGAATTTTATAGCTTAATTCCTAAACTTAGGTAAAAGTTTGTTTTATGACTTACATCAGAATCCACTGCCTTTACTGAAGGCTGCTGAGAAAATGGCTGTCCTGGTTGTGTTGCCATCGGCTGAGTGACCACTGAAAGCGAGGACACTAAGGCCACATGATGAACAGGAAATGCAGACCTTTCCACTGGCTGGGCAGTCACCTGTGAATGAACATGAATAATGAAGTGTTTTTTTCATAGTAAAGTGCATTTAGCAGCAAACTCATTTTAGCTAGGCTAAGTGTAATATATTCACTGTTGATTAAAAATGTTTAATATGTAAATTAATGTTATTACAATACTTCTTCACATCAAATTTATTAAATATTGTTACAAATATTCAAAGTAAAACACATTTGGAACCAATATACAATTTTTAGAAGATATACTATGAAATATAGCCAAGAACAGGGATCGAATGGTAGTGAAGCAGTAAAACACAATGCTCTGTGAGGCAATACTACATAGGAAGATTCCTAGTTCAAGTCTGGAGACCTCCCCGAGTACACATGATCTGTGGCTGGCTGAAGACTGGGAATGAATCAGAACATCAGGACTGTTGCATTCTCCCCCCCATCTCTCTCATTCATGGAAAAAAATAAATAAAAAGTAGCTAAGAGTAAACTAGAAAGATATGCCTGCCAAATAACTCTCTTTAAATAGATAAAGACAGTCGAAATAAGAAATAAGCAACAGTATTTTAAATAGCTAAAATGCATTTTTTTTCCTAGTTACATTTTCTTACCTTAATCCAGTCAGCACCACTTGTGCTGGGGATAGGATTGGTTATAGACATAGAAGAAATATTAAATCCAAATATACTACTGTTTTTTCCTAAAATTACAGCTTGTCCAAGAGAATCAGCAATTTCCTGAAGTTCAGACAATTGCATCTGACCTATGGAGAAATAGTATTGGGACATTTGGATTATAAGAATATAGAACTGGGAGAACATGTGAGTTTTTAGTTTTAGTTTTGTTTTGCTCAGTCATGTTACAGAATTTTAAGGCTTTATCGATGTACCTGAGTTAAACATGATAAAACCATATTAACAAGGTTAGGAAAATGAAGAACTCAGTAGAATGTGTTTTAAGATAAAATTAAATAAAAATAAAGGTAAACTAACAGAAGAAAAATGAATGAAAGAATCGAGGTAAAATATATGACTCTTAATACTTTGTTGTATCATTCTTTGTTTAGAAATGAAGCACTATCACCTTATCTCACACTATATAGAAAATCAGCTCAGGCCAGCAGGTGGTGTGGACATTAAGGTGGCTGTGTCCCACATGGTCAACTGTGCATTTCAAGGACTGGACCCAGTGGCTAGAAATTCATACCATACGTGTGTGCATGCATGCCCAAAATTCTGAGAGGAGAATGGAGAAGAGATTGCAACATGGTCATCCTCCCTTGGGGGTGATTTTTCACTTTCTCTCTTTGTTTCTCTCCAGTGAGCACATGTGCACTATAGCAAGAAATAAAATAAAAAGAAAAGAGAAAAAAGAAAACTAACTCAAAATAGATTTAAAAATTTAAATGTAAAACCCTGAATTGTGAAATGCCTAGTAGAAGACAGAGAGAAAAATGCTCCACAACACTGGCCTAGGGAATAGGGGTTTTTTGGTGTGACACCGAAAGCACAGGTTAAAAACAAAAACCTTCAAAAAAGCAAAAACAGATAAATGGGATCACAATAAACTAAAAAATCTTCTGCACAGCAAAGGAAAAAAATGGACAGACTGAAGAGACAACCCACAGAACGTGAAAAATATTTGCAAACTAAACATCTGATAAAGGGTTAATATCCAGAATATATAAAGACTTAAATGATTCAATAGCAAGAAAACAAATAACCTGGTTCAAAAATGGCCAGTGATCTGAACAGACATTTCTCAAAAGAAGTGCAAATTGCCAACAAGTGGGTGGAAAAAAATGATAACATCACTAATCATCAAGGAAATGCAAATTAAAACCACAATTATATACCACCTCTTATCTGTTAAAATAGCTATTATCAATGAATAAAAGTATTGCTAAGGATGTGGAGAAAAGGAAACCCTGGTACACTGTTGAGAATGTATATTAGTACAGCCATTAAAAAAATAGTATAGAAGTTTCCAAAAATATTAAAAATAGGAATATCATATGATCTAGAAATCCTGCTACTGGGATTTTTTTCCTTTTTATGCTACTGGTATAAAGAAAATGAAATCAACATATAAAAGAGATACCTACATTTCCATGTTCATTGCAGCATTATTCACAATAGCCAAGATATGGAATCAATATAAATGCTCATCAACAGATGAATGGATCAGGAAAACGTGATCTGTACACACACACACACACACACACACACACACGCACGCACACACTCTCACTCTTTCTCTCTCTCTCAATGGAATACTCTGTGTATAGAAAAAAGAAAACTCTGCCATTTGTGATAACATGGACGAGCCTGAAGAACATTAATGTTAGGAGAAATAAGCCAGGTACAGAAAGACAACTACCAATAATCTCATTTAAATGCATGTGGAATCTAAAAGACTTTAATTTACAGAAATAGAGAGTAACTCAGTGGTTATCAGGGATTGGAGATGGGGACATGGTGGGTGCTACTGACCAAAGGGTACAAAATTTCAAATTACAACAAACAGGAAGAATAAGTTGGAGAGAAGAGACTTGTTGTACCATGTGTTGGATATAGTTAATAACACTGGACTGTATTACTGAAAAATGCTAAGAGAGTAGATGTTAAGTACAATTACCACAAAAATAATAACTGTGAGGTGACACAGGTTAATTAGCTAGATTTAGTCAGTCCCCAATGTATACAAAGGGGAGGGCTTCAAAATGTTAAAAGAGAATGCATATTATAAAATCTATGCATGGATTTCAAAATTTGTTGCATTAAAATGAACTCATACTTCAATCCCATTTTCCACAATCTTTTTGAAGTCCTCTTCATATATACCTCAAACATCATATTGTATATCATAAATACACATGACTATCAATAATAAATAAATAAAGCATTGTACTCCCAAAACCAAAAAGACAACTGCAACTGGAATAGGTTTTGGTGTTTTCCAAGCCTAATTAATGACCTTGTTCCAGGAATCATGCACCTTCCACTGAGAGTCATGCCTTAAGAACACAGATCATTGAGTTTCTTTCATGAAGGCAAAATCATGAAAATAAGTGTGCTCAGAAAGGAGGCAATGTCCTAGTCTCACATGACACTTTCAAACTCAGTCTTAAGGAATTTCAGTCCCTGTCAGTTTAAAATGTCTCCTTACATGACTCACACTCCTTTTAATAAATGTTCAGTCTTTCAGATATTCTCTCCCAACTCCATTTGGGATAGTCTTCAAGGCTTCCCAAGCATGAAGGTTCATGTGATCTAATGCTGGCAGTACAAAGGTGTTTCACATCCATGTGTGACCTCTAATACTTTGTCTAGACTGGTTTTTGACACAGTGGCAAGTCTGATGCACTGTTAACAGTTTCTCTTGACAGTCTGCCATGTGAAGCATTCCTTTCTGCTGATTACCTAGAGCCTGAAGACCATAACTTGAAGGCCTTACTCCTAACCGTAGGACTTTGCCTGCCCAGAAGTCCCTTAATATTTAAATACCTCTTAGTACGTGTGGGAAACTTCTGGTTATTCCAATATTATGTGAAGGCAAGTGGGACACAGGAGTATGACTACATACACAATTTTTTTTGCCACTTCCCAGTATTTTGCTGTAATATCTCTCCCTGTCAATTTGTAGGGCTTTTCTTAAGATATAAAACTTTCTCCCAGTGTGTTTCTGGAAAACATGCTATTAACTTGTCTCTATACTCCACGTTCTTAGTCCACCTTACACCTATCTGGATATATAGGACTAACAGGCCACAACTTCTCTAAGAGATGAGGATGGGGGGGGGTCTCATGCATGAGGAAATTTAGATCACATATAAGAAATAAATTATAGTTTCTTTTGCTATGTAGTGGCTAATGTGGTAAAATTTGGACTCTGCTTTATGTAAGAGCTTAATAGGAATTTCTCAGAGTGGGAGAGTAATCTGCGTGTATACTATGGGCCCACTACAACTCCTATACTAAGTTAACAGGGTAAGTCATGTGGAGTCCAAGGTCCTGACCCTGAAAATCCAAGCATGTGCAGGACTGATGAAGAAGGAATTGTGACTCAGCAAAGGGAGATCTGGTAGCCTATGCTTCCTATGGTCTTTTAACAAAGAGAGTTTATAAGCACTCACCTCCACTCTCACAAATCATTACATATGTTTATCCCCACAAAGGAATAAACTTCTGCCTGTCTAACTGGTATAATTTTGGAGGGAGGATAAGATGGATGCATAGTGCCAATGTTCAGAAGTGAACTTCGTGGGGAAATGAGTGGTGACTCCTAGTGGCAGACAGTGAGAACATCACCCAGCATCCAGGTTTACACAGAGCCTGGAAGTTTAACAACAGAGATAGGGAATGGAGATAGAGAAAATCCCAATTAAGTTTAAATTTAGGAGACTCTTTAAGAAAAAGCTTGCCAAAAAACAAAACTTTTGTTATACTTATAATGGTATTCAATGATTTAACCACATTATTAGGTCCCTCTCCAGGGACTTATATGAAAACCTCTACCAGGACTTGAATAAGTGAAGGGCCTTGAAGCGTAAGCTCCATTAGCTAGATGGTGAACCTCCCTTGACAAAAATATAGATTTCTATTCTTGGAGAGAAGTGTGCCTGGGTGAGAGTACTTATGCTCAGCCACTGAAGACAACAGCATGGTTTAGAGTTAGGAGCAGATGGGGAGAGGATGCTATTGCATGGCAGAAAGCCAGGAAAGGTCAATGGTACCTCAAGAGATGACCATGCAGAGCAGGGACTACCCATCCTGTAGCAGGGAGCATAAAGACAAAATGGGTCAGGGTACTCCTTGGTATTCGGACACCAAATGGAAGGAGCATATAGAGAGGAAGAAAATCTGAAGGGCTGAGCATTTACCCAGATGTCCACACTGAGTCATCCTGAGGAAATGACAGAAACCAGTGGAGATATCTTTGATAAGACATTGAGATATTTTTTATCTCTGACACCTAACATAATAGGGTATGGTAAATGAGAAGCAGAGAGAGGGAATGGTTGGTAGAAAATGATTTGATCAGTCATAGGAAACAAAGACAGAATCTGTTCTTGCACATTTGTCCTCATTATGATAAATCTGTGACTTTACTATGGAAATTTTACTCACCATTCCACTGCTTGGAAAATACAAAGGTGTACCCTTCTCCTTAGGAAAACATCCACAGAACTGTGTTTGGCTTCTAAAACTCTCTGAGACCTCGCACCTGCCTATCACTCAGCCCCACTTCCAGTGGCTTGCCCTTCAAGGCACCTCACATTCAGACCAGCTGGACCTCATCCAGTTCTTCAAATGTACGAAGGAATTTCTTAGAGTGGGAGAATAATCTGTGTGTGTACTATGGGCCTACTACAACTCCTATACTAAATTAACAGGGAAATTATAACATTTCCTTAGCTTAAAAGGTTTTTTTTTCTCTCCTTTTTATTGACTAATGCTGGTCATCCTCACCTCTCAACAATAAAGTTACTTCTTTAGGTAGGTCTTCCTAGGTCTTTTGTACTAGGTCAAATCCTCTTGTTGAATTCATTATTGGCTACAACAAAACAGAGGCTGAAATTTCTTCACAATTCCAAAATAGTTTGAGATTACAGGTCCTGTAGGTCCTGGCAGGGTTCAGGACGTGAAGTTCGTGGATTTCCTGAGGCCTACCTCACCAAGCCCTGTTAGGGTTATTTACAGATGTCAACTTGGTAATTATATTCCTCTATCTCAAATGCTTATGATACATACCTGTGGTGTTGCTGTTGAAGAACTGAGAAGGAGGATCCCCAATCTCTAACTCCATGATGAGGTCCATGGATCTCTTCCTCCGTAGACTCTTTCGTCTTACTATCTTGCTAATACGGATTTTGTCATTTGGTATCTTTAGGAACAACACAAGATTTCTAACCAGATTATGAGAGCTATAAAAGTCATCCTCTGTTACAGCAGGTAATCGGAAAGAGACAAATATGACTGTGGTAGTGTGGATTTCAACAGGTGTAGTTCCTTTAACCAAAATGTAAAGCATCTGGTAGGTTCTATCAAAATAGTTTTCGCCAAAGACAGTAGAATCCAGATTAGGAAGGAATTTCTCTATGAAGTAAAAGAGTCAAAATAGCACAGTTAAATATATTAATATTGATCAAAATTATCATGCAGCATGTATTACTTACTTAAATTTAGAAAACAACAAAAATGCTTGTTACTCTTTTCATTAGAAAGTATGCATATTAAAAATAAAAACACTTACAGGGCCGACATGCAAATTAAAGTCAAACCTTTAAATAGTAATAATCATACATTCAGTTTATTTTTTAAAACAGATATACAGTATAAATGAGAAACAAATTTAATGAAACCAGGAGCCTATACTCTACTTTTAACACCTATTTACATGTTCAAAACTTTAAAGCCTTGATTGAAGGCATGTGGTAATTTCAAAATATAAATTTAATTTTGTCATCTAATTTATGCAGTGCTATATACCAACTCTGAAAAAAAGCATTTATAATTCAGCATTTCTATTTTCACTGAGGACAAAAGCATATAATAAAAATGCAGCATATATTAAAACATCTCAGAAGACTCTGATATCAGTGAAATAGGTTTACATATCATCCTGGAAAAGCTTTGGTTAATGTAAAACAAATTCTGCTAGAAAACCAAATTTTGTAAAAGTGACTGTGTAATTATATATAATGAATACTATACTTTTTTTTACAGAGAAAGAGCATAGAGGAGAGACAGAGTCTTGCCATATTGCAGTCCTCTTGCCTTAGCCTCCCAGTTAGTGAGGACCACAGGTGCCTCTGGCCTTGGTTTAAATGGGGCTGGAGATTAAAACTAGGCCTCCCATGTGGCCTCAGCCACTGCACGGTGGAACTTTCCTACTTGTGCCAGCACAGCTAGGCCATATATACAGTTTTATGGCAGTGTATGAACAACGTCTAAGAGGTAACAAATCTGCTAACGTGTATAGAACCCAGACAAAGGCTACACTGTATAGGGAAGTGGAATGAGCTATGCAGCTTCTTAGTACAGTTCATAGTGAGGCTTATTAGGAAAAAAAAAATTCAGATGTCAGGAAGAAAAAGGAACTTCTTATTAACATAATAGACTATAGCATTAAGAAGTCATTTTGGGACCAGCAGATGGCATACTGGTTAAGTCGTTGGACTCACACATAGTCAATAGCAGATCAAGTCTTGAACCTGGAGGCTTAAAACTCACTCCAGGCACGTGTGCATGCTTGCCCAAAATCCTGAGAGGAGAATGGAGGAGAAGGGATTGTGGCATGGTCATCTCACCTGGTGGGTGATTTCTCACTCTCTGTCTCTCTGTCTCTCTAGTGAGTGCAGGTGCCCTATAGCAAAAATCTCTTTTAAAAAAAAGGCCATTTTATTATTACTATATATTTCCTTAATACCTACCAGTTTAAATTCTAGACATAACTTGGCTTATACATTGTGTGAATCTGAAAAATGTGCTTTTGTATTGTATGTTGAAGCTTCTCTCAAGCTACTGTTAGAGATGCATACATCATTTATGCTAGATAACATTCAACATTTTCACAGAAATGAAGGAACTACATCATAGATAACAATAGATAATAATGAAACTTTGTGGGTAACTCCAAAATATGTATAGCTTAATAATACAGGGTTATTATTATGCATTCCAAATGCCAAAGCAATATGTTTACTTAAGAACAATGGCGTTTTAGAAGAACAATGATGAAAATGACAACACCCACACATTTATTATGGTATTGTATCTCAGTCCTTCATCACCAGCGTAAATAATTTTTTATATTAAGTTCTGTCTATTGACATAGTTCCTGTTTTTCTGATCTTAAATGACAAAGAGCTTGGTACCATATGCATTATTTTAAGTTAAATATTTAAACTAAAATGTGCAGTTATTTGCATATAAAAATGATAGCACTGACTCTCTTAGCTTTTAAGGGGGCAATGTAACATAATGATTAAGTGCATGGGTTCTAGGACTAGACTGTTTTCAAGTTCTTGATTTGCCCATACCAGCTTTGAAGCTACTATGGGTTGAATTGTGTCCCCCCACATTCCTGTGTTGAAGCTCTAACTCCCAAGATGATATTATTTGGAGATGAGGATTGTTGAAGAAAAATTAGGTTTAGATGAGAAGGTAAAGCCCTCAGGTGAAATTATTGCCTTATAAAAAGGACACCAGAGAGCAGGCTGTCACGCTATGCCGTGTGAAGAAGTTGCAGCAAGTGGCCATCGCTATCCAAGAAGTGAATTATCATTAGACCCTGACCATGCCGGTGACCTAATATTGTACTTTGAGCTTCCAGAACTGTGAGAAAATAAATTTCTGTCATTTAAGTCACCCATTATGTGGTATTCTGTTATGGCAGCCAGAGCTGATTAAGGCAGAGACCTTGGCAAATTACTTCACCTCCTGTGTCTCAGTTTACTCATCTGTGCCTACCTAACAGGTTATTTTGGTATAGCAACAATGAGTTATACAAAGAACACTTAGTGCCTGAAATATAGTAACGTGAAATATTAGCTATCATATTATTAGTAGAAACAGGACTTTTTCTATAAACCTTTAATAGCATAGACATGCATGCTTTCAAGTCTAGCTCATGTTATGACATACAGTACACTTCGTTTATGGCTAGCTAAGATGTTGGCGCATGTGGAAAAATGATGATGAATAGCTCATTAAAGTCCTGTTAATAAGAAGACCTAAATGAGCAAAGATAAATCTTGGCTTTTCAAACATTGGTAAATAGATAAGTGTGCCTCTTTCATACATTTCATTTAAATCAAGAGTTTATTATATTTACTTCATAGTGTTCCACTGATGTTATAGCAGCTTCCTTGGCAATACTTCTGGTGATTGCCAATTATGAAGTAGAAGTAAAGCAGTTTTAAAATAAAGTAAAAATTGTTAGCAAAAATCTCTTCTGAACACAGGAATAACTGAATTCAAGTATGTAGAATGAAAGAGTTCTCAAGGATCAAAAGAATGTTCACCCTAAACACAAACTTATATGTGTATGCATGCAGATAGCTTAAAGTTCCATCAAGAGGGACCTTTCAGGACACATACACATTGAACACACCATAGTAATTGACCATGACTGAAAACTTACGTTCTTCTGCATTCACCAATGGCTAAAGAATTTAAAATATTATAAGAAAACATTAAATATATGTATACATAACTAACAACAGAGAGCATGTATACTATACTTGCCTGAAGAAATACCTGTGTAAGGATGCCCGTTGAGTTCACAGAACTTCTGATGGGTGTTCCATACTGTATTTTTGGGACAGACCAATGAATTGTTCACATAGACATCCAAACGCTGAAGTGTAGAAAAAAAAATGCCTACCAGAACAGCCTGTTAAAAAATAAACATTTTTGTATTTGAAGAGAGCAATAAAACAGAATATTTAGAATTTAGGACTTAAAAATGTTCTTCCACTATGTACACTTTCTGTAAAATATTAAAACCAAGTTTATGGATTTAAGATAAATAGTGACTAAAATTTTTAAATGAGCTTACATTCAACCATTCATGCAAGTGTTACAATTTAACCATTTATTTTAGAGGTTTTGCCTTAGGGTGCGTGGGCTTGTCAGAGAGCTAGAGACAGTGAGAGGGAAAGTGAGAAATCACCCCCCTGGGGGGGATGGCCATGCCACAATCCCTTCTCCATTCTCCTTCCAGGATCTTGGGCATACACAAACACACACCTAGCGTGATTTAATCCCTAGGGCCTGGGACTCAAACTGCAGTTGACCATGTGGGAGTCCAGCAATGTAATTGCTACGCCATCTGCTGACCCCACAATTTAACCTTTAATAGATGATTTTCAGCAGAAAAGTATAAGAAATGAATTATTAGAGAAATATCTTTAAATTAGAGGTTCCTTTAAGACAACACAATACGATATACACTTTCAATTCCAGGGGCAAGAGAAAGGAGAGATTTAGCAGTGCTCACTATAATACTAACAAAGAAAATTAGGTAGTTAATGTTGAAAATAGCTTCTATCTTTGAGAAAAGTTTGGTAGTGATATAAATAAAAATCAGTCAAAATGTTTATCCTTTCTACTTTAATTTGTTCATTTTTTGTGTGTGTTTATAGTTCGTACATTTCATGCTATCAGCTATGACCTTACAGTAAGGAGACTTGCTTTTCCAAGTTCAGGGAAAGATGAATAAGGACTCTAATACATTGGCATCTTTTTTTTTTTTCTTTTTTTTAGAGAGGTTTTTGCTATAGGGCGCGTGCGCTCGCCAGACAGACAGAGAGAGACAGAGAGATAGAAAGCAAGAAATCACCCCCCAGGGGGGATGGTCACGCCGCAATCCCTTCTCCTCCATTCTCCTCTCGGGATCTTGGGCACGCACGCACATGCGCCCAGCGTGAGTTTTAAGCCACCGGGTCCGGGACTCAAACCGCGGTCAACTACGTGGGAGTCCAGTGACATAGCCATTATGCTAACTGCTGGTTCCCAATTGGCATCTTCTTTTGATATTCTTCAGAGGCTCAGAATATTAATAGTCACATTACTTTGTTGCCACCATTCTTATTTTTAAGTTAAAATATTATTTTTTGGGGATCAGCAGATGGTGTAATGGTTATGTCACTGGACTCTCATGTAGTTGACTGTGGTTCAAGTCCTGGACCCAGTGGCTTAAACTCACACCGGGTGCATGTACATGTATGCCCAAGATCCTGAGAGGAGAATGGAGGAGAAGAGATTGTGGTGTGGCCATCCTGTGATAGGCAGGTAGCCAACAAAGGAGTGAGCAGCCCTAAGAAAATAGCAGAAGGACACATGCCATATCAACTACAACTTATCAGGAGTTATAACCAGACCCTCCATGAAAATGCCTTCTTCCCACCCAGCTCCTGGTGCCAAAGTTAGGCAAATCCCATTTTTCTTCTTTAGTACCTAAGGAAGACACACAGGGATAATTGTAAATTTCCCTCTTATCATTCCTCATAAATACAAAAAAACCCAACCAGATATTTTGGTCAACATCCTGATTCCCACGGGGGCAATAAACTAATTGGGCAGTTCATCCTAATAAGGATGCTCCTATCATCATGACTCACACTGGGCATACACAGGTAGGTAATCAAATTCCTCAAATTCTTCACCTGTGAGAGAGCTGCACAAACACAGGAGAAAGCCCACAAATTCAAACAAAGAACATAGATAATATGACAGACCTCCCACTGTTAAATATTCATTATCACCTAAAGTAATAAAAAATAACACTTAACCAGTTCCAAATGCAGTTGCTACCTTGCAACTTGCCTGCCCAAAAGTCTTTTAAGTGTACTTCTTTTCTAAATTTTTTCTTTCCTGTTAAATTCTCTTTTCTACCTACTTTTATTGTGGTTGTTGCTTTATTTTACACCTAGGAGCAGATATTTAATTTTAGAAATCTAGACCCAGAGACCAACCCAGATTTTACACAACACAGCTCAGCACTCTCCCATCCTATGACAATCCACCCGGGGGCGGGGGGAGTGTTTTTGCTTTCTGTCTCTGTCTCTCCAGTGAGTGAACCCACCCTATAGCAAAAATCTCTCTTAAAAAAAATTCTCTTTTAATTTTTGTTAAAAACAAAAATCAAGTTTCTCTTTCATCCAGGTACTAGGTTGCTGGCAAAAGCCACTGACTTATTTGCTCTTAACATTCAAGAGTGAGGAAAGAGACAATAAATATTAGGGACAATAAAAAAGCAAAGTATGAAACATGTTGGAAGGTGCTCAGTGTTCAGGAAAGAAAAATGCTAAATCAGGGTATGAGTAATTGGGAGAGCCAAGCAGGGAGGGGTGATCATGATAGGCCTACTGAGAGAATGGGATTTGAGATGGAGAGTTTGGCCACCTAAACTAAGCCTAGAATGTTCCAGGCTGGCATAGCTGAATTACGGGACTGGGTGGTAGCATGTCTGGTGTACTGAGAAAGAACAAGGAGCCCAGTAAGCCTGGAAGACAAGGAGCAGCCACAGAATAAAGGGTTGAAGGAGATCCATAGGGCCTCTTAGGCCTTTGTAAACCCTTTTATTCTTGTAGAGGTCAGTAGGGAGACGATTGCAGACTTTGGACACAGAAGAGACCTGAGACTTACGTGTTGACAGTACCTCTCTGGCTACCGAGATAAGAACAGATTACGAAAAGGCAAGGGTGAAGCAGAAAAAGGAGTTGGAGGGCAGCTGTCTTAATGCAGGAAGAAGAGAATGTTGACTCCACTGGATGGTAGCAGTGGAGATGGTGAGAAGGGGTCAGAATTTGAATATTTTAAAGGGAGAGTCAACAGAATTTGCAGGTAGATTGCATGAGGAATGTGACAGGAAGAAGTCTAGAGGAGTTTCAAAGTACTGCCTTGAACAATGGAAAGAAAGACTTGCCAACATCTGAGAAGCGACAGGTGCCCTTTTTTGTTGCTCCTCTCTCTGCTTAATCTTATCAATATCCTTTCTTCATATTCTTAACGTTCTCGGACTTAGAAGTGTCCTCTACTCTTAGAAAAGAAAACCTAAATTAGGAGACTACTGCTTAACCTCATACTCATTTCCCACTGAAATAGTACATATAAATTTAATGATTTTTGTCTGAATTCAGTATACAGCAAAAAAAAATTGACATTATTGAAGACACATAAAATAATCTGCTGCAATTGCTAAAGTAAATTTCAAAGGTGTATTTCTGATACGTATGGGTAATAACAGTGTGGAATAAAAAATACATAATTTCAAGTAATCAGTTTTGGATATACATTTTTTTTAATATTATTGCCATAGGGCATGTGTTGTGGGAGAGAGACAAAGAGAGACTGAGAGGGGGAAAGTGAGAAATCATCCCTTAGGGGGATTGTCATGCCACAATCCTTTCTCCTCCATTCTCCTCTCAGGATTTTTGGGCACACACGCACATACACATGCGCACGCACCTGGGACGATTTTCAAGCTGTCAGGTCTGGGACTCGAACCATGGTCAGTCATGTGGGAGTTCAGTATCTCAATTCCAAGTCACCTGCTGGCCCCAGACATACACTATTTTTTGGTAAATATGTAGGTTTTCTTGCAATAATATAAATCATAGCTATCACTATCATGCCTCATATACAGAGCACCAGAATCAAGCGCATGTTGGTAGGGAGGCACTGTTTGCTACTAGTATATCCTTTCAGGCTGATAAAAACTGTCTGGGCTAGTAGTATTCTTAGTACTACTCTAATAGGTCCTTGAAAATGAGCTGTAAGGCTGATGATGTTAGAGAGAACAGGGGAGGAGACATAACCCTTAGAAGAGGGAAATGCATACAATAATCAATAGCAATAACTCTTGAGATGTTATTTGTAAGTGGCCTTACCTTGTTATGGTCAACATTAAGCAACATCAGTCGAAGATTCTGAGGACTGGTACCCGTGAAGTAAACTTCATAAGATGTGTTCAGAGCCACAATGCTATGAAACAGGGACAGTCTTCTCTGGCATGTGTATCCAGCACACCAGCCATGATCCTGTGGGCCTAGATCCACATGAAGTGAAAGTTCATATTCTCACATTATTAATAATAGGAGCACAATATCCAAATAATAATCATATCAAAATATGTCACAGTGGTGGGACCAGCAGTTAGCGTAACGGCTATGTTGCTGAACTCCCACATAGTCAACCATGGTTCGAGTCCCGGACCTGGTGGCTTAAAACTCACGCCGGGCACGTGTGCGTGCGTGCCCAAGATCCCGAGAGGAGAATGGAGGAGAAGGGATTGCGACGTGACCATCACACCTGGGGGGGTGATTTCTCGCTTTCTGTATCTCTGTCTCTGTCTGTCTGGCGAGCGCACACGCCCTATAGCAAAAAAAAAAAAAAAAAAACTTCTCAAAAAAAAAGTCACAGTGGTTAAGTTCAGATGCAAATTTAGCATTTATACCAATTTTCTATCAACCTAGTCATCAAAACTGTTTCTCAAACCTGGGCTTAACAAGGAAGGCAGGGCAGCAGCTCCTTCCTATTATCCTTACATTGCCTTGGGGAAGAAGGGGAAATCAACATGTTGGCGAGGATTTGTACTGAAAGGTCACTGGGAAAATTAGTACATTTACATATATTTCCACTGTAGTAATCATACTCAAACCCAGTCCATATGGTAAGGAGAAAAATCCTTTCTCCTCTTTATCAAATGTGCATTTGGGTAGAGAACCAACTTTCAGGCTCTTTGCTAAGAAACGCGCTGTAGAAAAATTAATTTGTTTAAAATGGAGATTTTATTTATCTGGAAAACAGGAATATCTGTATGCCTGACTCATTGATTCATTAATTCGTTCTTTTACTCATCTGTTAATTAAGTTAATAAACATTTTTTATTTGATCAAGTATTTAATCAGTCCTATTATTTGTTTGTCATAGGGAATGTATACTGACAGGAGAGACAGAGAGACAGTGAGAGGGAAAGTGAGAAATTTCTCCCCAGGAAGGACGAAGGATGACCATGCCGCAGTTCCTTCTCCTCGTCTTCTATCAGAATTTTGGGCACACATGCATACGTGCCTGGCATGATTTTTAAGCCACCGGGTCTGGGACTTAAACTACAGTCAGCTATGTGGGAGTCCACCACCTTAACCAGTACACCATCTGCTGGCCCTAATTTTCCTTCATTTTAATTGAATGTATGTTTGTTAAAACTGAGACTACAAGTACTATTGAAGGGTCAACATTATTATTGTTGAAGACATCTGAGAAATAACACTCCACCAAACCACCTAGAAAGATGAGAGATAGTGAATGCTTTTCTATTTAAATCCAGACATTTTCAGAACAAGTGTACCAAAACTTTCATAGCAAATTTCTCTCTTCCACCTCAGTTTTAAAGTGACCAGGACTACACATGTATAAAACGTTGAGTGAAACATGAAAAGATGAATTTTTGTGATGCATTTATTCATTAGGTTTACTGAATTTCCTGGCTTATTTGGAAGTAGTATCAATATTTATAACTGAACTTCAATCAAAGTGTAAATCAATATAAACTTCTAAAGCTCAGGTTGAGCATAACCTTTCCCTCAGCATAAAAATTATATAACTTACTCTTAAATATACCTTCTTTGTGGGTCTTAAAACAAACATTAGAAGTCTGTGTATAAACTGAAAATTTAGAATGACAAACAAGTCATATTTTTAAAATGAACAAAATTGAGACCAGCAGGTGGTGGTTGAGGTACTTGACTCCCACGTGGCCAATAATGATTCAAATCCCAGATGGGGAAGCTTGAAATTCATGCCAGGCATGTGTGTGTGTGTGCATGCCCAAAATCCCAGGAGCAGAATAAAGAAAGGACTGCGGCATGGCCATCCCCCTGGGGAGTGATTTCTCACTTTCCCTTTCAGTCTCTCCGTCTTCAGTGAAAACACAGGCTTTATGGCAAAAACCTGAAAAAAAAATTAACAAAATTGAATATTAATGTTTAAAAGGAAATTTCTGTGGTACCCAGTAACTTTTATCTTGGGGAATTTTTTCCCCATCTGGTACAAACTGCCTAAGCTTTATGACTCATTCAGTAGCTTCATAATTTTTTCATGTTACTATCATTTACTTAAGACTTCTTTAAATTGATAGTCACTTTTTTTTTTTCTGGCTAAAGCACGTTTGCTTGCCAAAGAGATTGGAGAGGAGAGAAGAGAAAGCACATCTCATGAGATGTGATCACACTGCAGTCCCTTCTCCTCCATCTCTTCCTCCTTTCTAGATTTTGGACATGCACTCACACGTGCCCAGAGTGTTTCTCAAGCCGCTAGGTCCAGGACTTGAACTGCACAGAAGGCCATGTGGGATCTGGCTGCCTTGACCACCAGGCCATGGAGCTAACCTTCTTCAAAATATGGATAGCATTTTATCAATAAAGATATAAAGATCACTTTAGAAATACCTTTCTCCCTTTTTCTTCCTTGTCTTCTTCCCTTCCCCCTTATCCTATTTTTCTCTCTTTTCCTCTTGACCTTCGACTCATGGTCAATTAACATAACTCCTTGCATTCCTGAATGAAAACTGCTATAGTCAAGTAAAAAAAACACATAGATTTTTCTTACAAAAGAAAGGCAAAGAAGTCTTGATGTTTGCTAGTTATATGTGATAATTTATGCTTTAAGCATGTAATAAAAAGCTAATGCTTTCAGTAACTTTGGTTCATTTACATTGAACACCTACCATTAATGAGATCAACATAACCATTGCTCACTACAGCCACTGGTGAAAGTCTTCGTGTTTCTGTGTCAGAATCCAGGCTTTCGATAACCATCATCGCATATTCCATCCCAAAACACTGATAGCTCTGCCACTCTGGAATGTACTTACAGGTTGAATCTCTGATAATTCCTAGAAGCAATAAGTACATGCATTTCAGTAATGAAAAGGAATATCCATGTACTGTCTTCTTATGTAAGATTAAAAGGAGAATATATAAGTTATTTGTTGAATACATCAACCACTAAAAATAAAAGATATGTTTTGTTTCATGAACTTGTGGGCTAGCAATAGAATAAAATCCAACAAACCTTTGTAAGGTGCTTTCTCAGAGACTGGGATTCTACTTCCATTCAAAAATGTGAGCATCACCTTAGGAATTCTGTAGTCTCCAATTCCTAGTTGTCTGTTTCCATTCCACTCATATTCTGCTTGAGGGATCACTGAACCAGAATTCCCCAGAAAAGAGCCATCCATGTCTCTGAGCAATGATTTCCTTTTGGCATCACAAACCATGTCTACACAATCAGATGGATTCACCTTACTGTGGAGAAAAGGCAAAATGAATGATTTAGCTCATTGTTCCTAGATAGTAATATGAATACACTTGAGTATTTGATAAGGGGCTATCCAAAAAAAATTGATTAATTGAATCTTCTTGCAGAAAGTATTCAAACTAGGACCATGTAGTATATGTAATTAGCATTGTAATGAGGTCTGCTTTTCTATTGTGTTGATTTAGTCCATTATTATGAATCCATTAACATTTCAAAAGGACAAGTTATACCTGTAGAATATAAAATGAGAACTCCCTTTGTATTCCATATTTTTTGAATTATAGATTTCATATTTGTTCTTTGCTCACAATGTATTAACATTGCCCTACACACAACTGAGTAGCTACTGTATTGTACAGAATATGCAAAATTCCTACATCGGTAATGACATCTTTAATTTTTTCCCAACCTTCTCATCTCTAAATATAATAATAGTATTTCTTACTATAAAATAAATATTTAATAAGATTTCCATCCCTTAGGCCTTCTTATAGACGCATTACCAATTGTAGATTAGTATATATTATCGAATACCTTTGTCTATGAATATGCAGATATACTTGAATTGTGATTCTTACTCTACACATTTAGTAATCATACCATTGATCACTTAACTACGAGAGATAAGATATCATAAGCTCATTGAGCAGTTCAACCATGGATAGCATTTTGGCTTCATCTTGAGTTATCTGTATTGTTGGTTCATTGTTACCTGGTTATAATAATAAAGTAGCTACTTAATGTGCAGTGTGATATACATTCAAATGGTATACCGTATGCAATAACATGTTATATACTGTGGAGAAATATAATTTACTCTAGAATAAAGGAAATGACATAGTGGCAAGATCAAATTAATTAGATAGCATCTAGCAGTTCTCTCTCTTTTTGCTATGAGAGACTCATGGAGCTATATGTTATCCTTTAATATGCTAGTTTCAGGGAAAGATTCCAATCATTATTTCTGTAGTTCATGTGTTCTTTGTATTCAAGTGTGTGCAATTGTTATAAGCAAGTCTATGAGTAGAGTGCTCAGAATGCTCTATGAGTAGGATATTAGTATAACACTCCTTATATTAAAATTATTTATTATTTATTGGTGGGTACAGCAGTTTTTTCACAGCATGTACACCGTGTGTAATTATCAAATCACAGACATAGACATACTCGTCTTCTTCAACACTGAACATTATGATGTGCACATTCGACAGTAGTTCTACTGGCTTTTTCTCAGTGGCCTCTTTCATATTGTAACTTTGTGCTCTGTCTTAGTTCAGGTTCCCAACAGATAGAGATGTGGATTTTTGTTCAAGTAAATTATTGAAAGAGTCCTCTCAAAAGGGAGGAAAAGAAGCCACATAGAGCAAGGGAAAGAAAACAAAGATGACTGTGGTCTGTAAACCAACTTCAATATGATCCTGCGGAGGGTGCCTTAAAGTAGTACAGTCTCTGCATGATTGCTGCAGGGCAGGGGAAAGCTCCTAACAAAGACACAATCTACTGCTGGGCTGTACAGATGGAAGAAACCTGAGTGAGAAGGCCGAGAGAAGCCTATTTAGCTAAGGCACCTGGCTTTGCCTCTCCTATAGGAGAATAAGCACAGAACAGCTCAGGCCCACCGTGGTCTCTAGCAGAGACGTTGGGTCTGTCTGACCCCCACTTTTATTTGTGTGTCCTCTCTCAATTCAGAGCCCTTACTCTCAGGGTGCCCTATCTTTTCGCCCTTGGACAGGGACATGATCCCATAGAAACTTTTGCATTGTGAATTGCAGTACAGAATTGTTGCTGCCTTAAGACAGGGAGGCTGGCCAGGTACTCCTGAATCAGTCATTTTGATGGATTGTAAGAATGATGGTAGTAGGGAGAGCTTTGGCTTCTTTCGGCTATTTCTATTTGGCTAAGAGCAAAGTCCTGAAAAAGGAACAACCAGGGTGGTTATCAGCCAGCACTTAGCGTGCTTGGGTGAGGTGCCTTGCCTAGTGAAGATCGGGAGAACACCAACAGTACCAACTAAAAGCACAGAACTCAAAGAAATGTCATTGAAAATGCAATACTTTATTCATAACCTAGATAATAAATTATATATTAAATGTGAAAGATTCAATGAGAATTAAACAGGAGCTAATAACTTTCTAATGATGAAGGCCTTTATCGAGTCAAAAACACTGCAGTTCAACAAATATTAAATGAGTAAGAGTGGGGCTGTCATCCAAACACAATCAGATGAAATCAAACTATTACATTTATGAAATACTGCAGTTCTCTCAAGAGATGCCAATTTAATAACAGAGTGAGATATGCATGTCATTTTTCTTCTCCCCAAAACTAAAAATGGTCAAAGATCACTAATAAAAATTCCTTTTCTCCAGTGTTATCTTATACCCAAATTCCTGGTCTGTACCTTTTCTCAAAAGTAATAGTTATTGCCTATATTTTTCTACAACTCAGAGAATCTAAACAACCAACTTCTGGATATATCCTGTCACCAACTGACTCTATGATCAGAAAAATCACTGTTCTAAGTTTCTGCATATTTATAGTCACAGTGATTGCAATGGTTAACACATCATTTCCCAGCACATTTTAGAGTATTTGAGATAGGATATTTGGCAAGCAACAGGAAAATAAAGGTAAAAAAAAGTAGTAATGATAAAGATGTCTCTAATCTTTTATTCACTATTAATGGAGAGATATTAATGTAGAACACACTCTTCAGACCCCATATCTACCTTTTATATTTAGTAATGATGTTATTAATAATAAATACACATGCGCGCGTGCACACACACACACACACACACACACACACACAAAAAAAAACTATTATTAATAATAAATACACACACATGCGTGCGCACACACACACACACACACACACACACACACACACAGTGGGAAAAATGTATATAGAAAAGCCCAGTTTTTGTTTTCTGTTTTTGTTTTTGTTTGTTTGTTTTTGAGAGAGAGATTTGCGATAGGGTGTGTGCACTTGCTGGAGAGATAGAAAGCAAGAAATTACCACCTCCCCCCCAGGGGAGATAGTCATGCCAGAATCCCTTCTCCTCCATTCTCCTCTCTCAGAATTCTGGGCACATAGGCACATGCACCAGGAGTGAGTTTCAAGCTGCTGGGTCCAGGACTCGAACTGTGGTCAATTACTTGAGAGTCCAACAATGTAACCATTGTGCCATCCACTGGTCCCAAAGCCCAGTTTTTAAAACTGAACTGAGAACCCTTAGATTTACATTATTACATAGTCTTAATTTTTGTTACACTGATTAAAGGATTTAAAGAAACTGGCAGTAATTTATATATAGCAATTTCCACAGATCTTTAGCAGTGAGAAGAGAGAATAGAAAGCTATTGGTTTGTTGGAAAAGTCATGACATATTTTCCTGTTTTTCTATACAAAGTTCATCATAACTTTTCCAACAACTCAATATAAAGATAGGAAAGAAAAAAAAAAACTGAGTTTTAATATACTTTACCTTATATCAGGCCTATGAATAAATATTTTTGATTTTTCAGTAGTATCAACCAGTTGTACATTCTTCACATGGATTGGATGCTGTAAATCCTCATTTAAAGGGTTAGTAATGAATATCACATTAGTTTCTCCTAAACAAACATTCTTAAATCCAACAAATGTTGAGCCTAGAAGACAAATGATACAAAAAATAGTTATTTTCTATAGAGAAAGTGAAAAAATAAGAATCACTTCATGGACATTCCACCAAACACATCCTTTGCCACAATGTGGAACATGGAGCTCTTGCTGATATAGTAAATACATCCATTACTGTCTGTTGTAAGATCCACACCACTGAGTAATTCTCTGGCATTTTCCCTGAGCTTGGCCATGCGATTCGGGTTGGCCTCAAGGGACAACAGCAAAAATGGCATAAACAGAGATTTGAAGAGTGCCTGTATATTAGGGCTTGCTTTTTCTTAGTGCCCCTGGGAATTCTGAGATTTCCAATATGTGAGTAAGCCTGGGATATTGGTGGCCCAATTTCTCCCACCACCCCAGCCAATGGGCAACACCAACAGTCAGCAAGCACCAACCACCAGACCTGAAACTTCTTCCTAGACAAATCAGCCCATAACCATCATGTAAACTTTTGGCAGCCTAAGAAATAAGCTCAAGTGAGACCAGCATACAAACTACCTGGCTGAACAAAGTGCAAATTGCCAGTCCACAGAATCATGGAGTTGTTCGTTATGATCCAAAGGCTAACTGAAATACTATGTTTAACTTGCTGTCTGCATACAGTATCTGACCAAGTGATAAACTGATTGGATTTAAAAACTTAATCTCTATTATACTTAAAATCCAGTAACTCAAAATTAAGGAAAGCAAAAAGTGACCTCCAAAATTATTAAATTAGTTATGTGTTATTTTCAACCCTTCTCAATTATGTTTCTCTCAAGAGATTATATAAATTAATACGAAACTATAGACAAGTATTAATAAAATACCACAGTAGCAGATACTGTTTGTACTGTCTAGATCTTCTTTACAGGGTAAGTGCAAACAATCCTTCACTCCTCTAAGTGTTGGCTGCTAACCACTTACACCTGGTATTTTCTTTAAAGAATTGCCCTTGACCATTTGAGAGCTTTTTCACCTGAGAGATTATGGACTCCACCATGTCCATTACCACAGGGGTAGTCATTGTCTCACTGACAGGACATAGGGGAGGTCTCATTGCCTTAAGATGAGAGAACTAGGAGATGACATTTATGCTCCATAACTCTCTACAGTATCAGGCACAAGCCGAATTCCACTAGAGGCCATAGCTTTTCCCCCTATTCTATCCTAGTTCCTTTACTTCCTTTCTTCAATAAACCACTTGCATAAGAATTACATTTCTAGTTCTGTTTCCAGGGACTCTGACTTAAACCGTTGGTGTGGGAAGTACTCTTGAGATGAACACTGCAGTGATGAGGTAATGAACTCTGATGACTTACTAGCTAGTTGTGAATGATTGTAGGTTTAGTCCTTTGGGAGAAAAATATATTCTGAAATGTACAGTAATTCTGGTATTTGAACGGTACAAGGGAAATACTGGGTCATTGGGAAAGTTATGACACATTTTTGCATAGAAAAACAGAAAATATGTCATGTTTTTCTCAATGACCTCCTAGTAGTTTTAGAAAGAAGGAAAACTATGGTTTTTACTGACCATAAATGATACTTGGAAGAAAGAAATGAAAACTATGGGGATCAATCACAAATTCAAAAGCAAAGCTCAGAACCTAATGGTAAGAATGACAGAACTTCACAACCTAGAAGTTGTGTTTTCCGCTCTAGTAAGTCTCATAGATTAATGTAAGGGCTCTTATAGAAAGATGGTGGGATGCTCAACCAGGATAGGGGTATATGGAAAAATGCACTTGCAACTTGAAGTCTCTGAATTCACTGAAAATTTTGGATGTGTATGAATGGCCTGCCTCCCTCTTCTTAGAGGACAATTCTCTGCCTACTTGACTAAAATCATGTAGAAACTTCAAAAGAAGCAGATGCTGTACAAAGCAAATCTCATCCTTCACTGATCCTGTCCCCATGGAATTATAAACCAGTTCACCAGTGCTGTTGCTGGGATGGCTTTGGAAGTTTAAAAACAACAATGGTCCACAGTAAGTGATAGTGCACAGGGTCATTTACTTTGTATGAAGAGAAAATTGGTCTGAAGAAGAATAAACACCAGCTTACAGGCAATGGTGAGTGGCTTAGCTGGATATTAATAAAATACCATGGTAGGAGATGCTGTTTGTACCCTGTTTAGATCTGGGGTCTGGAGGAAACTAGGTTGGATGTTGAGGGAAAAGCATGTGGATGAATCTGTGGAAGTGGGTACGATGGGCATGTTAATGCCTCCCAAAGTGCTTTCAATTCAGAAGAATCCCTGAAAAACTCAATAAGCAGGATTTGTCAGACAGACGTGAGCTGTTCTCTGTTCTCAGCCATCCTAACCCTTCTGTAACAGGCTTATGAACCGAGTGGCCTTGGTGGTAGAGATGGAGGCTATTCATGGCCCCAGCAGCATGGACTCCTTCTTTCCAAGGTTAACTAAGCTACTTCCACTATTTAATGTCTCACCCAGGTTGCCAGGCACAGAAACCAAAGCCAAATCTTTACTACACTACTGTACCTCAGGAAATCAAATGACTAATTTAATTAAACCTGATTATAACAGATATTCTCCCCTGGAAAAGGTAATAATTCATGTTGACAAGTTTGAAAATGCATTCCTAGCTGGAGTTTTTCTTTCTTGCTTTTGGGGATTCAGTCTGCAACTCCAACCTAGGACTCACAAAGTAAACAAGTCACATGGAATCTCACATAACATGACCCTGGACTAAAGAATTCACTTTGGGAAAAAAAAGAAAAAGGAGTATAGTGGTGGGCACATGACTATAGGCTCACAATGGATCGGTTGCTTCAATCACATCCTATAGCTTTTGGAAATGACTGTACTGGTAGAATAGTCTCTTGAATCTCTTGAAGGCACAGTGTAGGTAACAACTTTGGAGATGACAGCTTGCAAAAATGTATTAGCAACAGCCCTTGTGTGGGACTCACTACCTCTAATATGGAATACATGGGTGCTGAGACCCAGGGCTAGGGCTAGGACCAATCTTGTTTGCCATCATCTCTGGAAGCCTACTTGGGAAACATCTCCTTCCAATCCTACGCTTTTTTTTTTTTTTTTTTGTAATGAGCTTTTGCCTTAGGGTACATGTGCTGGCCAGAGAAAGAGAGAAAGAGACAGAGATTGAGAGGGAACGTGAGAAATTACTCCCTAGGGGGGATGGCCACTGTGCAATCCCTTCTCTATTCTCCTCCTGGGATCTTGGACAAGCACACACACACATCTGGCATTAGTTTCAAGTTACTGGGTCTGGGACTTGAACTGTGGTTGGCCATGTACGAGTCCAGAGACATAACTGCTATGCCATCTGCTGGCCCCCGAAACCTCTACTTTTATAATCTATGAGTCTGAAGGTCATTGTTCCCAGAGGTGAGTGTCTCCACCAGGACACATGGTAAGACAGGAGAAACGTAAAGTGATGCTATATCTTGGTCACTTTGAGCTCCTTGTCAGATAAAGGAGGCGTTTTCCATCTAGAAGAAGTAACTGACCCTGATCACCACACAGAGGTAGGACTGCTAGTGTTCAGTGAAGGCAGGGAGCACTTACACGATCTCCCGGGACATAAGCCCCATGTCAACTGTAAACAGGAAGGCACAGAAATCATGGCTTCACAGCACACAGGAACCAGAGGCCTATTTATTACTGGTATAAGGCTCTGGACCATTCTACCAGGCAAACCATCTTGACTAGCAGAAGTGTTGGCCAAGGAGGAGGAAATTTAGAAAGGGTAATGAAGAGAGAAGAAGAATATCATATATGGTCTAAGGGACCAGCTGTGGTACTTCGACTATCAGCCTTCTTATAATGTTTCCTAGAAATTGTGACCATGCAGGGTCCAGAAGAAATCATATTCTGGGGAATTAAACTTAATATAACTTAATAAAAAATGCAAATAGATCTAAGTGGTCCCAGAAGTGCAGTGGTTACAGGCTGGCACACCTACCTCCCATTTCCGTGTGCACTAGCTGCTAACAATTGAGAACTCTTTTTCAGAGAATTAGCCTTCAGACAAACTGGAGTCACATCACCCAGGAAATTAAGACCCTCCTCACAGGGGGAGCAGTAGCCAAAAACTAACATGGGGTGGTAATGGCTGCCTCCCCTGACATGTGAGAGCAACTCAGTGGTAACTTACATCAAGAGTTCCCTGATGGGATCCAGCAAAGTTCTACTCCAGCTCAAATCACATTCTTATTTAGCAACTTTTGTCCTGACCATCATTCATCCCCTTTTCCTGAGAGCATTCCTTCGAAGAGCCACTTCCACAAAAATCTGTATCTAGGGACCAGCAGTTAGCATAATGGCTATGTTGCTGGACTCCCATGTAGTTGATCACGGTTTGCGTCCCAGACCCGGTGGCTTAAAACTCACGCCGGGCGTGTGTGCGTGCATGCCCAAGATCCCGAGAGGAGAATGGAGGAGAAGGGATTGCGGCAGGGCCATCCCCCCGGGGGGTGATTTCTCGCTTTCTGTCTCTCTGTCTCTCTCTGTCTGTCTGGTGAGCGCATGCACCCTATAGCAAAAAAAATAAATAAATAAAAAATAAAAAATAAAACTCTCAAAAAAAATCCATATTGGTGCAACTGCTTCTAGGAAATCCAACCTAAGTCAACGATCTTTCATATATTATCTTTTAAGATTATAGTCTATGAAAGAAGAGCAGTTGTTTCAGTTCTTGAACAAATTTCACTTGCAAGGCTCTATTTCATAAGGACATTTTCATTACTATAAGACATTTATAATATTCCAGAACGTTTGACAAATTTAAAGTAATATATGTTCAAGTAACATTTATATAGCATATTATATAATATTCTCCAGGAGTGTCATCGTTATAAATAACATGGAAGAATTCTGGTTCATTATTATGTATTTCTAAACTTAAAACTATGAGGAATAACATGAGGGGACCTCAAAAAGGTAATGGGAAATGGAATTAAAGCATGAGTTTATTTTGGTGCAAAAAATTTAAAATCCATGCATACTTTTTTCATAATATGCATTTCCAATAAGCTTTTTGAAGACTCTTGTATGTCTATACTTAGATGTCTAATTTATCAAACTACTTTCTTCAGAGACACTGAGTGAAATTATCATAGAAAGGAGACTTGCCAAACAAACAGAGAGTGGCATGGTGTACTTGATAGAAAGCAATGAAAATAATAGATGTGTTCTCTACACTGACTAACATATCATTGTTTTATATTTCTAAGGAGGCAGGCTGGTTCCATTAAAGAACTGTGGATCTTGAATCACATCTTGACGTTAGCACTAGCTCTGCCAGAAACTGTGGGACTTTGACAAGACACCTGAGTTCTATGAGCTTAAGGTTTTTCAGTCGTAAAAGGGCATAATCATCTATACACCTACTAACATGAAAGGGAATTTACAAATTATATAAATGAATTAATATTAGATCTACACCAGTGACTATTGTTATAGAAAGAAAATTAAAAGTAATTATTCAATACATAGAATTTTTCCAGGACATCATTCTTGAAATGGACTCTCTGATGTCTGATTTCTTTGCTTGTCATATTGAACAGATTCCTGTAAAAATTTATCAAAATCTTTTTTTTTTTTGGAGAGGTTTTTGCTATAGGGCACGTGTGCTCACCAGAAAGACAGAGACAGACAGAGAGATAGAAAGTGAGAAATCACCCCCAAGGGGTAATTTTATATTTTTTGTTTTTCTATGCAAAAGTGAGTCATGACTTTCCTGATGAAGCAATATTTATAGAACTTAATTGTGTGAATTTGTGAAAGATTCTGCTTAAACTTGCCTGAGATGTCCAAAAGGCCATTGATAGCATTATAACTCATGATCCCCGCATGGGGTTTCCGGGGTGCCATGTTATGTGCAGAAGCAAAGGTAGGCCAGCAAATCCCACTTCTCCCACCTTTAATGAAAAGAAAAACAGTTAATGGATTGAATAACAGGTGTTCATATGAACACCAACATTCAAGCTGCCAATCTTTCACCTGATGGAGGTCTGGGACTCCGATGGGCAGCAGTGAGTTCAATATTGGGATCATCATTAGTTAGGATGTCAGAGCAATTAAATTCAGGGCTACTTCCAACAATCAATGAGTCCTATTTTTTCCAATAAAAAAAATACAGAATTAATGGCAGCTTTTCCTAAAAGAAAAAAAATAATAAAAAATAATACTGAATTGTACTATAACAGAAGACAAGCTATAAATTTAAAAAGGGGCCATTCAATTATTTAAGGTTACTTAGTTCTTCTATGAGAGAGAGGAGAGAGACAGAGAGAGGGAGCAATGCACCTCCAACAGGATCCTCAGATCACTATCTACCTTCTGCCTCCACCACCCTTAGTACAAGCATGCTTGCAGCAGGTGTCCATAGGAGACTCCAGGGTGTGAACGCGGGACTTTCCCATGTGGGTCCGACATGAAGGAGTGCTGTATTACCACTGCACCATCACAGCTGGCCCAAGAAGTGCATCAGTTATTCAGGAAAGATGAAAAAAGTGTGATTGCTACACAAAGTGCAAAGGGGGAAGACAGGCACGTAAACAATCATACAAAATGACATGTTATGCTTCCATGATAGAAATAGATCCAGGGAACAGTAGAAATGAAAAGTGGAGAGAGTGTCATCACCACCCGAGCAGGTTCAGGAAAGGCTTCGTAAAGAGAGTGAAATTTAACCAATGTTGCAAGAATAGCAGGTGACAGGCAAGAAGAGGTGAAGAAAGGCAGAAGTAAGGGGGAAGAGTTTCCTGGCAGAGGGCTGTGAAGGCAATGGGAGGGTGGTGTACACTAGCTAGGACAAAAATCAAAGAAATCATGTGTATAAATCTTCCTGTCATTTTACTCTTCTCAGAGGCGCTCTCTATAGTGTGGTTATATTCATTTCTTACCTTAACTTGCACTTTTTTACTGGAAATTTTATGAGATACAGCAGCTGGCAAGTAAATGATGGAAAAAATGGCCATTCCATTGTTAACCAGGGTCACATTATAGATATGTACACTCTCTGTGGTCTGTAATACAATTTGTAGGTTACATAGTACTAGAAAAAATCATAAAAGAAAATAAACAGTGGTAGCACTGTTGCTGATCATATTTACCTGGAAATAAATCCCATAATCCCAGCATGTCCAGATGGTAAATCCCTGTATAAGAGAACACCCAGGAAGGCCATCTTGGTTCATGTAGATACCATATAAACCTCCATGGGCTTCATTGTCAAACCACTTTTCCATGGGATTAGATTGAGCTTGAAAGGAAATACAGAACCCAAGAACATTACAAGTCATGTCATTTAGTTTCACAAGCAATATCAGTTAAAGGTAACAAAATTCTTCATACAAATATATATAATGAGCTTTATATACATATATATGTGTGTGTATGTATGGATCATATGTTTTAATGTGATAATCAAACATTTTAATAACTGTCATTTATGCTTTACTCTATTTAGAATTTATTCTTACCTAATTAGTCTTTTCATTGTTACACAGAATAATTGTATACCTATACATTTGCTAAAGTTTGATTAGGAGTTAGTACTAACTTAAATTATCATAGCTGATTAAATTAATTATGATTTTTTTATTAGGAAAAGCACAAGGTTTAGATTCAAACAAGCCTGAACTTGAAACACAATGACACCACTTTCTATCTGTAAAATGCATCACCTACACAACTTTTTGTTGCAGTCTCTTCTGAACTTTTCAAGTGTTACTTAATTCAAATGCCTTCCTTTATTTCCTTATTCAAAATAGCAATTCAGTTACTTTACATTGCAATGAATTTTTTTTCACTTGATATATTATTATTTATTTGTGATTTATTAATCTCCTCCCTTTGTTAGAATGTAAGCTTCAAGAGAATAGATTGTGTCTAGTTCATTCACCACCATAATCTAGGAGCCTGGAAGGTAATGCAGAGACAAGTTCTCTTTATTATTTTTAAGGTTTTTTGCCGTAGGGCATATGTGTTCATGAGAGAGAGAGAGAGACAGTGAGAGTGAAAGTAAGAAGTCCTCCAAGGGGGATGGTCACACCATCACTTCCATCCTCCTTGCATCTTGAACATGCATGCACACACAGTCAGCATGATTTTCCACACACAGGGTCTGGGACTAGAACTGCAGTTGGCCAGTTGGGAGTCCAGTGACATAAATACTATGCCACTTGTTGGCCCTGACAAGTGCTTCTTAAACATTTTTTGAATTGATGTGTGCATGACCTTGGAAAAGCTATTTGATCCTTTAGAACTTCAGCTTCCTGGTACATGAAAAGTTTTTTTTTTAATATTTATTTTATTTATTCATTCATTTTATTTTAATTTGACCAGAGAGAGACACACACAGAGAGAGAGAGGGAAAGTGAGAAAGTCAGCCACCAGGTCTGGGACTTGAACTGTGGTTAGCCATGTGGGAATGTCCAGCGCCTTAACCACCATGCCACCTGCTGGTCCCCAGAAAAGTTTTAATGCCTATTCAAAATTGTTTCCAAATGAAGTAATCACTTGACATACCTACAAGTATCCTCCATAAATAAAAATTATGCTCATTAACATCGAGCAGAACTAAAGTGGATTTTAATGAGTTTTACTTATATCCAAATCAGTTCAATAACACCCTCCCCAATCTGGCACCAGTTGGAGGATGGCCGAGGAAGAGCAGCACCACCTCCTAAATTGTCCTTAGTACTAACTTCCTCATCCAGTTCCTTGTTACCTGGTTTCCGCCTATCCTCTATTGATTTTGTTCTTACAAGCCCTTTAGTTTTTACATTTTATTATGATTAGACTGGTTTTTATTTTATTCCTTCCTAAGAAGAGGCCTACATTTTCTCACTTGAACCCGCACAATGTAACTCTATATTCATGTATCACTTTCACAATGATCCAGTATTTCTCTGTACCCTTCCAAGTTCTGATCTAAGGGAAGGATTGGTTAAATTAATTCTCTGAGTGTTCCATTTTTTAAAAAGTTTATTTATTCTATGAGGAGGAGAGTTAGAGATACAGAGATAAAGAAGACAGTACTCCTATCTGGGTCCCAATGCTGCAATCCACCCTTAGCTGGCTCTGGATCATGAGCACTCCCAGGGAGACCTCAGGATGCAAATCTATAACCTTCTCTTGTGGGTTTTCCCCACAGAGTGTTGCATCTTACTTTTGTTCCACTGTCTAGTCCCAATGTTTCATATTTTAGTTACTGTAAATCCAAAACCTCCTTATAGGGACGAGCAGTTGGCATAATGGCTATGTCGCTGGACTCTCATGTAGTTGACTGTGGTTCGAGTCCTGGACCTGGTGACTTAAACTCAGGCCAGGCGTGTGTGCATGCATGCCCAAGATCCCGAGGACAGAATGGAGGAGAAGGGATTGCAACATGGCCAACCCCGTGGGGGGCAGGGGGGTGATTTCTCGCTTTCTGTCTCTTTGTCTCTGTCTTTCTGGTGAGCACACGTGCCCTATCACAAAAACTTCTCCAAAAACAAAAACAAAAACAAAATCCCTCCTTATAAACACTGACAAGTATTTAGGAATATTGACATAATCAGTGAAAAATGTACTTTACATGCTAGTACATATACTAGTAAATGTTCATATTGAACATTAAATATAATGAAAATCATATTTTGATTTCAAAATGCTATTAGGACAATTTCACAGAATTTGAAGAGAAATAATAGATTTTAAGATTTTAAGTCCTGGAACCAGCAGGTGGTTATGTCACTGAATGTAACATGGCCGATCATGGTTTGAGTCCTAGACCTGGTGGCTTGAAACTCATGCTAGGCATGTGTGCATGTGTACCCCAAATCCAGAAGGAGAATGGAGGGGAAGGGATTGCAGCATGATTATCCCCTCGGGGGGGTGATGTCTCACTTCCTGTCTCTTTGCCTCTCTCTGTTTCATGGGCAAGTGCACATGCCCTATACCAAAAATTTCTCTCTCTTTAAAGAAAAATTAAGTCCCAAGGAAAGCCATGCTAAGCTGTTGGGAATGAAAATATTTAATAAGAGACTATATCAAGGAACCTGTTAAATCTTTTGACAAAGCTACTTTTATTCCTTTACAATGTATTTTGCAGAAGAATAAAATAAGCTTAAGTCCACATTTTTGAATTGACAGGGAAAAAAGTACTGTCAAGCCATCAAAAAAAAATCTTAGAAATAAGAAAACTTATTGACTAACATTAAAATGGATGAATTTTATGGCATATAAATTACACCTAGTAAGTACTATAGTCTTTAATAAATACTCTGCAATTTAAAAAAAAGTTGAGTTAATTAACTCAAGAAGAGACCATTTTTTTTTTTCAGAAAAAGTCCCATTTTTTTTTAACATTCTTTTAAGCTTCCCCAGGGATAAAGTCAGCAGCTTTATTGTTTATTTTACTATTTTATCTGGTAATAGTTTGTTTATATGGTTGAGAGTCAACAGGTTGTTACATACAATAATAATATACAATCATAATATACATTTCACAATAAGTTCCCAGCAGCCTTGTTCCTATTCACCTTCTGTACTGTTGATTTTAGACTTAAGTGGTTTTTTTATATAAACACAAATCTGTTTACGTAAAATGCCATACACATTTTTATTTTCTTCCCTCTTTCACAAAACATATTATATATGTGTTATAAAGAAAACAGTGTTCTATATATACTATTCTGCACCTTCAACTTATCATTTCAGAATTTCCTGGATATTTCACATAGAGTTCTCTCCCTTCTTTCTTTTACAGAGAGGCCTAGTGTTCCAATGCTTTATACAACTAGTGTTCTTTCACCGGGAAGGGGGACTTTCAGCTGTTCGTTGAAGAAATATTCTGTGAAAAATAACCTTGTTTATAAATCATGTTTAAGTGTGTGAAAGCAATTGTATTTGATGTGGAAATGCTGAGGCAAAAGTAAATGTACCTATAATTTTGGTAGATATTGCTAGATTATGTTTGTACAGATTATGTCACTTGGTCATTCAACCACCGATGTGTAAATGTTCCTGTTTCCCTACTGTCTTGCCTGAAGAGATGTAAGTTTGTCCATGATTTTTACTAATCTAATAGAGAGAATTGTTTCTGAGGACTGTCTGTTCGTGCCTTCTGAGAGTTTCATGTGTGCAGCTTTTAACGTATGAACAGTGAGTAATTATTCTATTACAGCGTAAGTATAAAATAGTGGCATATTCCTATGATTGTCTCTCTCTATGCTTAGAAGTGCCGTTTTTATGTAAATGGTAGTGAGACAAGCTACTCACTGTTCCAATACAAATCAAATGAATAACTGAAATTGCAGCTGGAATTTTTAGAACACAAACTTGGAAAAACAAAGTTTTTCTTAAAAGGCTATCCATTTTTCTTTAGAACCAATGTTTTCTTGGAATAATTTATCATGTTACTTCAGTGTCCAGAAAGAAGAGATAGCACATATTAAACCCATAAACAAAATTTTTTGTTTACAAGAAGTTTCTAACTGGTGATTCTCTAGGTGTAATCATTCCATGGGAAAAGACTTACTTGAGCAAGGTTCACCATCAATGCGGTATCCTGCCCTTCCAAATCCAGCAACTACGTTATTTTGTAAGACTGTATTGGTCCCCCTGTTTACCTAGGACAATCAGAAGGAACATAATTTGGGTCAAACTGTTATACAATTGTACATTGAGAGTATACAATGTTACTTGCAAAAACCTTTAATTATGACTGTGCTTTTAAGAGGAGACATTCAATTAGTTATTCACCCCAAATTTATATTACAAATGAAGTATCGAAATTACATTAGGTTCTGGGTATAAAACCATTACTAGATACTACACCCTAGACTTTATTAGAAAACTGCAATAAAGAGATTGTTTTTACTTCAGTCACAAAATTTGCTAGATGTGGTTTAAAATTTATAAACTATGGCCAAAGTCCAGTATTATAGAAAGGTTATAGAATTTTATTATATTTTTCAGGTTATATTTTGTTACTAATTTAATTAATTTGTTAAGGAAAAAAGACAAGGCAATTACAGTGAATGTAACATTCAGGGGGAAAAGTTACTATTTTACATAAAGTCTGCTATAATCAAAATATAGCTCAGCACAGTAACAGGTAACTATGAAACAATTTTATTTTATGAGCCACATCAAAGTGGTAGATAATAAAAAGATAGAGAATGGGTTTAGTTCTTACCTAAGGAGATGGTAAAACAGTCAAATGTTTTGATCATTCAGAGAATGTACTAAATAGCTACATTTTAAAAGATTATTATAAAAACATTATTCAAATGAAATGTGTAAGTGTAAATTAAGTAGCTATTTCTTTTTAAAAGTATTGATAACTGTTTTCCTGTTTTTCTGGTTTTGTTTTGTTTTGGAGAGGTATTTTACTATAGGGTGAGAGCACTTGCCAGAAAGACAGAGAGACAGAAAGCAAGAAATCACCCCCAGGGGGCATTGCCACGTCCCAATCCCTTCTCCTCCATTCTCCCCTTGGGATTTTGGGCATGCACAAACACTCTCCCAGTGTGTGTTTAACGCCACCAGGTCTGGGACTTGAACCATGGTTGACTACATGGGAATCCAGCAACACAGCCATTACACCAACTGCTGGTCCCATAAAAAGCTATCGATAATTTAAAGAGTTTGAACTAACATGTGATGACACTCTAATATCTATAAACAAATGAAAGAACACTTTTACCTAATAAATTTATACTGAGTTCCATCTTTCAGACTTTAACTTAATGTAATAATTACTACTTAATACTTCCCCCATTTTTCAAGAGATAGTTTAATAACTTTTCATTCTATGGCATGGGGTAAGTAAAAACAAGAGAAATTTATCTTCTTCAAACCCCTTCTCTGTTCAGTTTTCTCTCTTGTAATCTCACTCTACATCTAAACAGACATTAGTATAAAGGAAGAAATTTCATGGGAAATAAGAAGCATTCAATTAGTAATTTCAGGTAAGTATAAATAACCTCACATATAGAATCATAATGATTTTAGACGAGAAAGAGATTTTAGAGATTGTACAGGCTAATATTTTAATTTTTCATAGGCGGAAGAAAACTAAATGTAGAGTTAAGTAATAACATGCAGGGCACTCAGTCAATTTTGTGGAACTTGAAAGTGATAAATAGTGATGGAGAAGGAAAAAACAATAGAAGTATTTAAACCAATGGGCATCAACTGAAAAAATAAACCAATGGCTACAGAGCTCACAAATCTTTTTAAAAGTTCACTCCTTGAGTTAGCTCATCATCTCTCTCTAAGGTAGAAACAGCTTTCAATAACATTTTGAGATTCATCATTTCGCAGATGTTATTAGGTAATCAGAAAAGTCATGACATTTTTTAATGTTTTTCTATGCAAAAGTGCATCATTATTTTTTGATAATCTAATCTAAATTATAATTTTATATAATTATACATTTGTTCTCACTACCTCAATAGCTGCATGCCAGAGAGTTGAACTTAAATCTTTTCTGTTCTGATAGGTTCCTGGCCAAACCGAAAGTGCAATCAAATTTCCTCGGACTCTGTTGGCATCCCCCCATATTCTTATACCTGTAAAATAAAATAGAAGAAAGGAAATATCCCAAAATAAATATAGTATGTCTGTTTGTAATGAACACTAGGGGTAATAGCTTTCATTTTTCCACAAAAATATTTTTCTAGTTTGACTCTAATAAATTATCCTATTAGATTTTAGAGTGAGTCTTCTGAACTTTTTGATAATGAATGCTACCTTTTTTTTTTTTTTTTTTTTAAGATTTTTGCCATAGGGCAGTGTGCTTGCTGAAAGAGTTGGTGAGAAGGAAAGTGAGAAGTCATCTCCCAGAGGGGTGGCCATGCCACAGTTCCTTCTCCTCCATTCTTCTCCTGGAATGTATGTTCACAGGTTTCACATTCAATTTTAACAAACACGCATATGACTTTTATATATATTAGATATATTTCTATTATACTTTATACTGATATAAAAGAAATGAAACATACCGAAAATTATATACAGTGTTTTATAAAATAATAATCTTTATTTGTGATCATCTTTGTGGCTGATCTGTGAGGAATATTTTTAAAGTCATAATAATTTAAATAATTAGTGATTAGATAATCCACATATCATAAACTAGTAATTCTTACAAATTTGAGGATCTTATGGTCCAATTTCATAGCCATAGCCTCATTTGGGTATTTAAATGTAAATTAAGTACAATTACATCAACTAAAATTAAAATTTTAAATTCCTCAGTCACAGTAGCCAAATTCAGGTGCTCAATAGCCAAACAGGGCTTAGGAATTTGATAGAAAGTGAACAAATATGGAAGATATGTTGTTCAGTGAAGCAAGTAGGACTATGAAAGAGAGACATTGTATATCTCCACTTAACATATACCGACTGTCCGTATTGTAGGTAGAGACCAAAAGACTGGAAGACATAAGAGCATTAAAAATTGTTATGCACACTAGAGACAAAGTGGAATGAAAATGTGGGAGGGGAAGAGCATAGGAAAGGAAATTTAGGGAAAAAAGTAGAGAGGTAAGACATTTGTGGGACACAAATATGGTTTATTATCTATTGATAAGGAAGTATATAGTATTCTCAACTGGGCTGGACTGAGGAGTAAATCATGCTGGATAAAGTCTCTTTACAATCTACATGATTTATAGAAATTGAATATATAAATAACAATAATAATAATACAAGAAATTACTATATTAGCACAGATATAAACCATTTCCTTCCTTATAGAAATATCCATGGGACACACGGCTCTAGAATTCACAGTGAGATTGCCTTAGAAGGACATGTTATTGAGGCCAAAAAAGGATTATATTACCTTCCCCCACTGTAAAGTAAATGATGTTATTATCTATGTCCAATCCATCTGTCCCAAACACACCAACTGCTGGGGAGAAGCCATGGTGAAAAGCACAGCCTCGAAGGTATGATGAGCCATTTTCTCGAATCTATAAAACATTGGGATTCAGTCATCATTTTAAAAATAAAATTAGAGAAAAAAATTTGAAGTAGATGATTTTTAGTAAACGAACTTAATCAATACTCAATTTACTTTCCTTAGAACAGATGAGTTCTCAAAAGGTCTTTTAATCCCATGAAATTTCCATGTCTTGAATTTATGATTAAGTAAAGCAAAAAATGTGCTTGCTTTAAGTACAGATTAAAAAAAATTCTCATGGGATTTTCTATGCATTTATGTTTCTTTTAACATTTATTAAATGCTTAGGTGCTAAAATTATTTTTAATAGTTGGCTATACAATGAATATGCATCTTTTCTTTAAATTACAATAATAATAATACCTCAGGGAGAAGTGGCAACTCAAATGTCTGTAAGTCAGTGAATAGATTAGGGATTTCAACTTTAAATCTACAGGTTATTTTTATTTCTACTAAGAAATATGCTCTCTCCCATTTTTCCTTAATCACCAGCTCCCTCAGAGTATTTATTTCCCCACTTTTGACACATAGATATATAAAAATACTTTTCATCTCAAAAATTTAAGTATTAATCATTTCAATAGAAACATTTTGGCAAAAATGATTTTGATAATTCCAAAATAGACATGTGAACCACCATTAAAGATCTTCAGTTCCTTCAGCATTTGTTTTCAGTGGTTTAAGCTTAAATGAATTAAATCAAATGCTTCTATGACCCTAAGCATGTGACGGTAAACATAATCTAAGAAAGTTTTCCTAGAATATAACTTTAGCTATTCTCAGATGTGGCTATTTTGTTAAGTTTTAAAAATAAAAGTGTTTTGCACATTTTTACTATTTGCAGAAATTAAAAATAAAGCACAAACCTGTCCAAGGTTAAGAAATGTTACAGCATATCTTGGATCTGTGCTATCCCTGTAACCCTCTTGACCACTGTGATAAAACTCCACATTACTTATTCTTGCACTTCCTAGGAGAAAGAGGATTGAAAAACATTTTCTGTAACACAGATACAGAAAGACATTTCTAAAAATTAAACAAAGTTGTTTAAATTATCATGAAAACCTCATTAGTTTTTCTTTGCTCCTTTAATCCAGCAAAGGCAGTAGTTCTCAGCATTTTTTTTTTTATTACCCTCCCCCTCTAAGAAGACTTTTTAGGCATTTTTTTCTCATAGTAGTATCCTTTCCCAGGGACCAGCAGTTGGCGTAATGGCAATGTTGCTGGACTCCCAAGTAGTCGACCATGGTTTGAGTCCTGTACACGGTGGTTTAAACTCATGCTGGGCGCGTGTGCATGCGTACCCAAGATCCGGAGAGGAGAATGGAGAAGGGACTGT